AGATCTTTTTAATTTACATTTTGAATGGATTCATTAAATTCATATATTACACATTGGATTATTATTACAATATCAAACGTATCATACTACGGTATCGAAAAATGCGTACTTATTAAAACTTGAATTTATTAACCTTGAAATTAAAAATTAGATGCTTATATCTCCAAAGATGCAGCGACAACACATTCATACATATATATAACTTATTAATAGCTGACAAAAATCCGTCTTAAAGAGATTCGAGAGAAGAACATCTGACACTTGTTCATACAGCTCTCTTAATCAAGGCTTTGTATAAATATTCATGATTATTTTTCGAGATTTCATACGAGTTGCTGCGATAGGAGTTATTTTCGTAATTAACGAGCAAACAGGGTTGGCCTCTTGTAAAGCTTAAAATACCAGTTTATCATTAATTAATCAATTGGTTTGTGTTTGATTAGCGAATATCTTCTTATTATCTATTATTATTTGGATTTGATGTAACGATACGCACATACATCACTATTATTATTATGTAGAAATTTATGAAAAAACAGTAATGGAATAGAGAGAAAAAGAGTCTATTGAAATAACATGATTATCACTACAGATAAAAATTCCGTGGTTCTAAAAATTCATGCAAATTGGAAATTTTCCGCATTTACGAGATTATTATGAATCGGAACGAATTGATGAATCGATAATTAACAGAACTTCTTCTCATTCTTATTAATTACGATAAGAAAACGAACGACTCACTGACTCGGAATTTACTTCTCGTGGATGCGGAACGCGTCAAGTCTTAAGTGTGAAATTAAGAAATGACGCAGTTAATGTACCGAATCTGTCAAAACGACAGATATTTCCACAAGTGGGACCGAGCGTTGAATCAATCAATCTTCATCATTAATCAAAGATTTTTGTTATTGCACCGATTATCGTATATTGCCAGTGCAATTCGTTATCATTTCTCTTAAATTTGTTACGTATATTGAAGGTTGTGAAAATACCATCAGTTAGTACATTCGCTGTTAAAATTATTTGTTGTATCTGCAAATTCAACGATGATTAAATGCTAATATTCGAAAAAAATATCTGTAATCAAATATAGTTCTTATGGATATACATTTATCTCTTCTTTCTCTTTCTTTATTTATTCTGTCTAATCAATAATAATTAATTACAATAGTGCACGCGATAAATTGTTGACTATTGTATCTACAATGTTGTTACACATATACATTATACGGTTATATTATTGCAGTTATATTTTTTGGTAATTTTTTGAGAATAATATTTTTAATATTTGTGCTTGGCATTATTCATATTTTATTGATTGTCGTTGCTGCAAAACTAAAAATATAGCGGGAAATCGGCTCGCGACACTTATGATTTATTCTCACGCGTGTGACAAACAGGGCATAGCTCTTATTTGTGGACAACATGATGCATGGTCGATAACAACAGAAATGCAGAGCGTGATATATCGTTAAATTATTCTCACTTGTCAAAATATATTCATCTAATCCGGATCGAATTTTCGACACAAATCATTGAAATCTTCCCGTGTCGAAAAAAGTCGTGGGGTTTCAAGTCTACGTTCATCTTTGTTTCTGTGCAAAATATAGCATAGTTATAGCAATAGCACAACTATAGCTATAGCACAACTATAACATAGTTCTATGTATATGCTTTTTTTCTTGGCAAACCCAATTGGCATCTTTCAATTCATATTTTTTTGTGTCTTGCAATTTTAATTTACTTCTATTAAAATATAATTCAATATTTTCAATATATCTCTCACATATACGCGCATACGCTCATATGAAACTTTAGCAAATCAATTTGAATAAACCTTATTGACAGTTTATATAAATATATCTCTCAGTCAGCGATTTTTCTTGAATATAATAAATATAATAATAAATGAGATAATATGTCATATGTTTATTATTCTATTTTGCAGTAGATTATTCTATTCAACTCGACTTTTTATTTTAATTTATTAGATATAAAAATTGACTTTTTGAATTAATTCTCTGTTTCTTACGCATTATTTTTTTCTATGACATCATCATTTAACGCGTTTACTAAAGAATTATAATTCTTATCAGCTGCATGTTTTTTTTTCAACTATATTGACTGCATCATACTCGTTTCCCCTTTTTAATTCGCTCGCCTAAAATCGACAAAATAAATTATATTTGTAATAAACATTCTTCTCAACGATTGGTAGAAAACTGCATTGCGCGCTTATATCTATGGTAACGTAACGCGAGTAATAAATATTCTGCAACACATGAATTATGTAGGGATGCGACTCGTACGAACACATTACAGATTTACTCAAACAACAAGTAGCGGTTATTAGTCGTAGTTTATGCGGACGCGATTCTTATCATTGCAGTGGAACCTTGGAGCCAGTGATTTACTTCGTGGATTATCAACGCTTTCCAATGCATTGTCGTTTCACGCAAAACGGCTATTTCTATTTCCGCTCACGCATCGCGTGGTTTACAAATTATCTGCATTAACAAGAAATTGCACTTTATTGCAATTGCAATCGTTTTATATTTTGTCAGATTATTTGAATTTGTAATTTGTTAAAGTTAAGAGAGAATTTTCTTTTATTAATATGTAAATTTATATGAATTAAGTATGGATTCTTATAACATTTTCATATATAACAAGAGAGATTTCATATTATAATTATATAATGCATTTGTTTGTCAAATTAAATTAAGAACAATTAAAGAAATTAACGCGTTTCATAAAAATTAGATTGTTCAATAATGATCTCGAATTGTCTTCTGTATATATATATGCATATATATATATATACATATGTTTTATATAAAATTTCCAAAGTTTCTTCTGAAAAAATGTACACTAAATTCATCAGTGACGTGAATAAAAAAAATTTTTTTTGAGTATATCAATCTGCAAAAAATCAAAAAAGCTCAATGTCATTACGTAATATAATTGCAAAGAGTAACCTTATAATGTATACCACTATAAGGAGCTCACCTGATCGCTAATCGGCGCTCACTTTCGAAAGCCTTATTCTGTCAAGTTTGCGCTACCGAACGGTTGCCGCGGCATTTTATCGTGATTCGTTGCGGGCAAAGCTGTCAAGCAATCACATCCGTCTGATCTTGCGCGATTAAGATCTTGCCTCTCGATTCCTCCGTTCGTCCGTCCGTTCGTTGGACGAGTCGCGCACGCACGATTTATAATTCATTTCTCTGACCGACAGCCCGTTTGTGATTTCTTTCCCGGCTGCCCTTCTGGGCTTTTTTTTTCTACCTCCGCGAATCTGATACACGTGAAACGCGGCGACGACCGCAGACAATAATGCATTAAACGTCGACAAGCTCGCGTTAAATGCGGCGAGCATATAAACATCCTGTATTTATCGGTGCGCGAGATTTCCGTACGATACGGAAACCAGCATTATGGTTTAAATAATCATCCGGCTGGATGACTATTATGAATATTCATTTTATAACCGTTGGTATTTTTTCCTATTTTCTCTATAATCAAGCAGGACGAGATTAATGTAATATAATGCAATGAGCTCATAATTTGGAAAATCTCTTGGCATCTTTCAATTTCCACGATATATACAGTTTTTGCAATAAATGATCTTTCCAATTTTGATATGCGCGAATCATGTATTATAATTATAATTAATTATCCTCTATGATACTTGGATTATAATAAATTTTTAAAACGACATGAACAAAGCATATTTAAATCGCGATAAGTTTGATAAAGCACGCATAAACGATCATATACATATAAAATATATATCGATTGTGATAATTTATTTATGAAATTTTTAATCATTATTTATAATGCTATTTTGCACAAGTAAATTAATATTCTGGCGTTCAATATTGTTTTGTAAATATTTTAATGCAATTTTTCATTACAAGTAATAAAAACAAGAATACATTCGTTTAGTTTTGAATATTATTTATATATCATCGCCAAGATATAAAATAGATTTCAAAGACATACATGTTTTACGTTATATAATGCGATTATGATCTCGCAATTTTTTTCAACGCGTTAATTAAAACACAATTAGAATCATGATCATGATTTAGTCTCTAATCATTTCTCATTCATGTACGCGCAATGACGAAACAATTTCGATCGCGTCGTTCGCGATTGGCATCATCAGATTTTATACGTCACGGAAGAATCCGCTCCAAGGCTCCATGTATTATTCATTTCTCTGTTAACGGGTATGTTTCGTGTATGTAATAAACGCGAAATGCAACTGACTATGCATGTTTTACGCGAGATATAGCTCGTATTTTAAGTTTTGCGTGATTTCTTGTATTCCGTATAGCTTCATGGTTATTGACGATGTTAAATAGAGATAAAAGGGCTAACAGATAAACGCGCTGAACAAAAATTTTAAATTATAATAGTTGATGAAAAATATAAGTGACTTAAATAATTTATTAAAAATAATTTTTAGAAACTATTAAAATTATATATATTAAATTTCTCTGAAACTATTTGAAAATATCAATATCATATAAAATTGTTAAATAAAATCTGGTAAAAGAGATTTTTTAAAACAAAAAAATAACCATTTTATTTTAATATTCTTTATCTTATATTTCTTCATTCTTATTTATGTAGTTTTAATCGAGGTATTAATATTTATAGATTACTTGACTTAGACATTTATTACTCTTCGCTAAATTAGTGCTATACATACATTATTATACATATGAAAGGATTTTAAAAATAATGCTTTAATCATCTTTCAAAAAATGTGATAGATATCAATCAACAAATGATAGCCATGAAATGAAAATCTTCATAAACCATTAATCTATATCTAACATGAAATTTTAATCATTTTAAATACATTATACGTATCTTGAGTATATACTAAAAAAAATTTTGTCACTAATAATTTGACGCAATTATCAATTTTGTTATCCATACGTTGCATTTATATCTCGTGCTTGTGCGGTTTTAATACGGATAATAAGCCATGCTTTTTATTCTCTCGTAATAGAAACGGTACCTCGAACTTGGCACATGAAACCGGAACTTCATTGCAATCCCGTTGGAGTTCCGGCGGGCGCCTTGTCACCCCCGGCCACCCTCTCGCCACCGGGTAGTCCAAGCATAATCACGCTGCCATCTTCGCCTTGGAGCCCAGGTGTACCGGGGAGCAGTTCGAGCATTGCCTCCGCTAGTGCATCTTCGGGCCTTTGTCAATCCGTCCCTGATCGTTTCAGCGCCTTCACCCTCGTCTCAAATTACAATCCCGATTTGAGACTGCAAAATCTACCACTCAGCTCTAACGTTGCCGCGCGAGGTAAGCCGCGAGATTCGTCACCTTGCAAATTCGCCAAAATAGTGTAACGGAATAGCATGGAGTAGAGTTATAAAGGGAGTTATATATAGAGGAAAATGAAAAAGAAATACCTCGAATATTACCTAACTATATGTTTATGCATCTATTATTTCTGTGTGTATGTGTTTGTGTATAAATCGCGCGAAATCCATTTTAAATATCATCTATTCTCTTCCCCCAATATCACACTAAATCTATAAGATGACATAATTTGTAAATTCAGAGTTACACGCGAGGATTATGACGCATTTCCTTAACATGATTACCTTTATTGTCTCAGATATGCGGTGCGGACTGATGTACGGAGGTTACGGGGCATCCGGGGGTGCTTGGTGGGCTCGTCACATGGGCCTTCTGCTGCCACATTCTTTGCTCCCGCCTACAAGAATCCCGTCCCAACAGACGACACCGGTAACAAATTGTTCGCCCATTCATCCGGAACCTCTCAGTCCGGCACGTCCCGGATCACCGCGAAGATGTACACCGGAGAAAGCCAAATTCGGTGAGATTTGAATATTTTTTAAAGTCAATCTCTAATATATTAAATGTTCATATATCTTCACATGACCAAAAAAGAACTCTTGTTAAAGAGTAATATAATTATTTAAAGCTACAGATCATACAAAATGTAAATTTAAATATATTATTTTCAACCATTTTTAAATAGTTGTCTAAATAATAATTTATTACGTTTATCTCTTGATATTACATTAGATATATCAATCAAAAATTCTTTAATTATTTAATGAATTGTACGAGACAATTAAGACTATATATGCAATTTTAATAAACGCAAGGATAAAACACGAATGTATTAATTAAATGATTGAGCATCTTCCATTGATAACGGTTAAATTTTTAGAAGGATAAATTCAACAAAATTGTTTTTATCTGTTTTTTTTTCGATAAACTTTTTTAGAGCGTTTGAAATACCTTTTTATAAAAGTAGAACGGCTAACGAGTAATTATCGGTAAGTGGGTGCTATCGATCGATCAACGTTGTCACACGAGGCATCATTTATAGCCGTCGCTCTCGATTTTGCTGCACGGATACTAATTACGACCAATTAATTTATATCTCCTAACTGCATGTGTCTGCATACATGACATGCAAAAACTATAAAATTTTCCTATCCCTTTAAGATCAACTATAAATTCATTCTCTCTCGATATCATAATGTTTTAGCAATAATATGGAATTTTTTGACTCTTTGTATATATTGTCCATGTTACAAATTACATTCAATTTATAAGGAATTATTTATATGTAAACGCTTAATATACATCGGCATATTTTGCTATATATTCAGGATATAACCAATATATATATATCAGTATATATGCATTGTCTACAAATTTTATTTCTTGAATGTGTAAACTATAAGACTATAACTATAAAACTATAGACTATTTATATGCAATAATAAAAAATTTTTATAATTTCTTATTTTTTTATATGAACAAGGAATTTATCTTTGCATAATTTTAAACAAAAAACTGTATTAGTTCTAAATGAGAAACAAATAATTAAATGACGGAAAAGACGGACGGTTTTTCATTTCAGAAGAGGAGGTGCCATTGAACCTCAGCACGAAGCCGAGCGATGTCTCGTCAAGTATCGGCAACAGGAAAAGTGAAATCTGGTCACCGGGCTCGGTTTGCGAGAGGGAGGCCAGGGAAACGAGAGCACCGTCCTCCAGGAGTCCGTCCTCGACCCCTGTAATTACGCGGCAAATTCATCACTCGCCGCTTACTCCGCCCTCCTCGACCGAAAGGACTTTTCAAGTGAGTGTTAATATATTGTATCTCTCCCTATCCTCTTTTATTTTATCTCGCGAACCAGAACCGCTAAAATTGTTTATTCCAAGAACGAATGACTCAATGTTGCGTGTGACATGAAATAACACTTAAAATAATCCAAACGCAACGTAGTTCATTATGATTTTTAACATTGCGTGATAATACAACAGAAGTCTGTTCGAAAAATTATTATCGGTGTGTCTCGTAAAAACTATCCCGCTTTATCCCAGTCGACTCACAATCGGTAAAATGGGAAAAAAAAACTCGACATATCAGTTACTTAATTTGAGAATCACGAAGAAAAAATCGTAAAGAAACATTTTTACGATGTGGTTCTCTACGAAGATCACGCGGGCTTCGGAAGATATACAACAAGCTTTCGAAAAGAAGTGATATTGGTTTTGGAAATCTCAGACCCGCGGCTTCTCCACGATATTTGGTCTTATCGGCAAGTGAATCGTGAAATAGTGATACACACATACATAGACGTCTGATGTCAATGATTTTACGAGATCGACAAACACTTGACTCGAACTTTCGATGACACGTCCTGATATCCTGACTTCGTAAAAAAAGCTTTGATTTTCGTGCACGGGGCTTGTATCGATCGTCTGATTGCCTCTAAATAACGCATGACCATTATTACTTATCGACGGTAATTGATCCCGTTTTAGCGACCCTCCTTCTTACGCCTTTCTTTTATATATTTTTGAGTCTTGATGCGATCTATCTATTCCGATACACATATAGATATTTTAAATAATCTATAAACTCAACTGATTGATTTTAGAAGTCTAACTGATATTAATAGATAGAACAGATATTAGTGTGATTTATTTTTGTCTCGCCATTAATAAGTTATTTCATTATATTTTAATGAACATAATTTGTATATACACAATAGAGAGAGAGAGAGAGAGAGAGAGAGAGAGAGAGGCATAGCCTCTTTATAACGCTGTCCTATAAAAATTCACGTTTTATAAAAAAGCTAGATTTTTTAAATGAAATAATTAATATAAAAAATAAGAGATTTGATAGCTATTTTGCATTAATAATTAATTTTTAGATGCGCAAATATTACGATAAAAAGTATTGTTAATTTCGAATATTTAAAAATAATACGATGTACAATATTGATAAAGATTAAATAAGAATATTTAGAAAGAAATTAAAAGTTCTCTTATCAATTGTATTTTTAGTCAATGCCTTTTAGATAAGTTACTTCTACTATAGTGATTCTTCTGTAACTGAAAACAAGGACATTATTCTCGACCAGATTAATAGTTTACGATCTAAGCTTTTCAGAACGTGACAGCTTTTGAAAAAGGTCGCCGATGATCGATATGTGGAACTTCGTTTCTTTTGTTTTGTTTTTTCACGAGTCATGGCAGGAAAGTGCTCTTCGTCAATCTGATGATCAAGTCACGTTGATTTTCTTGAAAATCGATATTTTTTTATCGCGAACAGAAGAAGCGGTTTATCTCAGACGAACGTTAACTGCGCGTATTTTAAACGATCTATTATATTTACTTTGCAACACAGTATAGTTCCAATTATTACGATATAATTTCGATAAATTTTTAAATCGAAATATCTTGCATATTATAGCAATATGTACTCGTATATCTAAGTAAATAACTGATGTATTCTACATAGATGGACAAAAAAAGGAAAGTTTCAATAGATTATTATATAATAATTTGTTTTACTTTACGGCAAATATTTAATATTTTATGAAATATTTATTTCACGCAAGTCAAATAATCTGTTCCTCGTATTTCTGATTGTTAGTAATAAACCGATCGATACATAGCCGTTTTTATTTCACGGCGCAATATAAATTAAAATTCCCATTTTTGTAATTTCAATCCTTTCGAATGAATAAGTCACAGGACATTTATTTGGTTAAATAACCGTTGCTTTAATATACATACGCTTTATAATATACGAATCGTTAATAGTGAAAATTAATCACAGACTGATAATAATTAAAATTTTTCGTAGGGAATAATCGCGTTTTCTCTTAAAAACATGCCATCAATATAATCGCACAGTCAGTTTCTTTTTATGTATTTGTTATATGCAAATCATAGTATTTTTATAGCTTCTGTTGCGAACACTGATAAAAAATAATCATTTTGCAAAAATATTCTCACAAAAGTATATTTGACACTCTATAAAGAATATTCATAAAATATATCATTATATCATATTGGAAATATATCATATTGGAAAAGGCTCACTGCATATCATTTTCCATGTCGTAAAAGAAATATGATCGGCGTTAAATGTTTACGCTTAAATGAGATGTCATCATTAACCATCACGCATCTGTTACAATGTAAGCATATCTAATTAACATAACGAAGTAATCTCGACGAATGAGTCATTGAAAAAAGAAAAACTGCTTTCGCTCGTCTTCAGCCTACTTCATCATGACGCGGTGTCGCGACATTTCCTCTCGGTACACACAGAAAAAGAGAGAAAGAAAGAGAAAGAGAGAGAGAGAAAGAGGGAGAGAGAGAAGCGACTGTTTTACATACATATCGAGTGAAAACCGGTCGATCTCCGTTCCAGAAAAAAATCACACGGCGATACATGTGGAGTCACGCGATACGAATTTCTTCGGGGCGCGTAAGTACCCTTAAGTACATCGGGGCGAGGAAACGGGTCAAACGTTTGACGAATATCGGACCTCGATACAAAAGAGACCTCGCCGCAATTACGTGTGATTGAATGGAAGTAGAGAAACTCGCCTCGGCCGTGGTTTTACGTCCACGACACGTAACCGTAACCCGACATATTAGGGTATGTAGGCCGCATATATGTACGAGCGTACGCGAGCACACATACATATATACGATTTAGTCAATGCCTTTTAGATAAGTTACTTCTACTATAGTGATTTTTCTATAACTGAAAACAAGGACATTTCTCGACCAGATTAATAGTTTACGATCTAAGCTTTTCAGAACGTGACAGCTTTTGAAAAAGGTCGCCGATGATCGATATGTGGAACTTCGTTTCTTTTGTTTTGTTTTTTCACGAGTCATGGCAGGAAAGTGCTCTTCGTCAATCTGATGATCAAGTCACGTTGATTTTCTTGAAAATCGATATTTTTTTATCGCGAACAGAAGAAGCGGTTTATCTCAGACGAACGTTAACTGCGCGTATTTTAAACGATCTATTATATTTACTTTGCAACACAGTATAGTTCCAATTATTACGATATAATTTCGATAAATTTTTAAATCGAAATATCTTGCATATTATAGCAATATGTACTCGTATATCTAAGTAAATAACTGATGTATTCTACATAGATGGACAAAAAAAGGAAAGTTTCAATAGATTATTATATAATAATTTGTTTTACTTTACGGCAAATATTTAATATTTTATGAAATATTTATTTCACGCAAGTCAAATAATCTGTTCCTCGTATTTCTGATTGTTAGTAATAAACCGATCGATACATAGCCGTTTTTATTTCACGGCGCAATATAAATTAAAATTCCCATTTTTGTAATTTCAATCCTTTCGAATGAATAAGTCACAGGACATTTATTTGGTTAAATAACCGTTGCTTTAATATACATACGCTTTATAATATACGAATCGTTAATAGTGAAAATTAATCACAGACTGATAATAATTAAAATTTTTCGTAGGGAATAATCGCGTTTTCTCTTAAAAACATGCCATCAATATAATCGCACAGTCAGTTTCTTTTTATGTATTTGTTATATGCAAATCATAGTATTTTTATAGCGTCTATTGCGAACACTGATAAAAAATAATCATTTTGCAAAAATATTCTCACAAAAGTATATTTGACACTCTATAAAGAATATTCATAAAATATATCATTATATCATATTGGAAATATATCATATTGGAAATATATCATATTGGAAAAGGCTCACTGCATATCATTTTCCATGTCGTAAAAGAAATATGATCGGCGTTAAATGTTTACGCTTAAATGAGATGTCATCATTAACCATCACGCATCTGTTACAATGTAAGCATATCTAATTAACATAACGAAGTAATCTCGACGAATGAGTCATTGAAAAAAGAAAAACTGCTTTCGCTCGTCTTCAGCCTACTTCATCATGACGCGGTGTCGCGACATTTCCTCTCGGTACACACAGAAAAAGAGAGAAAGAAAGAGAAAGAGAGAGAGAGAAAGAGGGAGAGAGAGAAGCGACTGTTTTACATACATATCGAGTGAAAACCGGTCGATCTCCGTTCCAGAAAAAAATCACACGGCGATACATGTGGAGTCACGCGATACGAATTTCTTCGGGGCGCGTAAGTACCCTTAAGTACATCGGGGCGAGGAAACGGGTCAAACGTTTGACGAATATCGGACCTCGATACAAAAGAGACCTCGCCGCAATTACGTGTGATTGAATGGAAGTAGAGAAACTCGCCTCGGCCGTGGTTTTACGTCCACGACACGTAACCGTAACCCGACATATTAGGGTATGTAGGCCGCATATATGTACGAGCGTACGCGAGCACACATACATATATACGAAGTTTTTGGGTGAAAAGGACGTTCTTGCTGCTCTCTCTACTTGATCATTTTATTGTTATGAGTTATTTTGAGTTATATCTATCTATTTTATTATTGATTTATACCTCCTATATTTTAAATATTTTAAATATTTATTACGACAATAATTTTAATATTTTTTAGAATAAATTATAAAAATTGTTTAGCATATCGTCGTGAATTTAATCCAATGCTAATTTTTGAATTACTTTGTTACTCTGATAGATATGACGTCTTCTCATTTTATTTATATTTTAATAAATTAAAGAGATATTTAATAAATTAAAGAGAATTACACAAATTTAAATAACAGATCACACTTAACACACACACACACACACACATATTTTTTCTAAGCAGTTCTTTTAGATTCTTCTAAATTCCCTCTCCGTAAGAATTATGCTTAAATTTAAAAAAAAAACATCTTAAGCAACGCGAAACCTATCCTCTCGTAATTATCACAATTTTTATGGTATATAAATACCTTAGCCGTGGGAAGCTACAGCCTCCTTTATTTAATCCACGCCTTCGTCGACAAACCGGCAGATGTTCCGACAACGGGGAGAAAAAGAGCCGGACAAAAGAGCGGCGCAAGTGATTAATGGTAATTACGCGATTTCGAGCGCCGCGAATCGCGAGGAGAGCGCAGAAACCAAAAGACGGCCGAAGAGATGAAGGCGCGGAACATGCCGTCTCGGAACTCTCTCGCGGCTTTATTTCTGAGCCGTACCGGAAACAGACGCTTTCGTGCGGTGACAATGGCGGGACCGCCTCGTCGTCTCCGTTCTGTCACCGCTCGTCTCACCCTCCCTGCCTTCCCACAATCAAGCCATGTTTCCTCCGCGATCTCTCAACAGACGTTCCGATGGTGCTTATTAACGAAAAACTCCACCTCCTCCGCGCCGCTCGCTTTTCTTTCACCCGAATCCGCGAACGGGACGACGCGTCCCACCGCGTTGACCGTTCCGAAAGTATCTTGCCAGATGGACGACAGAGAGTAATTAAGGGTGACAATTGTTATGCGTGGGAGTCGTTACTATCGACTGGTGCGCCGCGACCATGTATTGTGTGACGAGACCATGCTGCTTGAATTACAGTTAAATGGTGTAGGGCTTTTAAATATATTCCTCCGTCGCTTAACTTATCTCGAGTTTAAATTACGATCCATATGAGCCGTTCTAAATAACGAAAAGCTATATTAAAGCAGAAGATTATTCCTTTTAGATATGCCTTTAGATATTTTTTTGCACACATTTGCAAAAATAATTTTTGATGCTAATGTCACGTCTGGCAATCCTTTAGAGAAGCAAACGTAATACTACAATGATGATCGCGATTAGCCGCGTACAATTATTTCTCTAGATTACCAATTTTGCTTTCAGTCTCGGGATCAGATGACGAATATTAAAATCCGCGCGTGACTATTGCCAAACGAGCCGAATGTCGCTCGTGAAGATAGGTCGCTTTTCTACATATTGATCGCGGCATAACGTGAATCATGCGTACTTGCACTCGCGTACTCGCGCGCGCGCCCGCCCGCGGTCCGCGTGTAATAAGATTCCGCATATTCATATGCCATATATATTGTCAGCCTGCCACGCATCAAACCGCGCTGCCGAGACATTGTAACGACTGGCGCCTATGTGACAATGAGCTAGAAAAGAAACAGAGAGAAACAGAAAAAGCACAAAGAAATACA